CAGATTTACCTTTTGGGTAGTATTCATACATATGTATACCTATGTAAAACCCATTAAATTGTATGCTTAAAATTTGTACATACTACTAAATTTGTTACATTTTTTAAAACATCTGTGCCTATGAAATATTGACAGGGAATTAAAACAAAAGGGTTTTTATCTTGTGATGTAAAGAAAAACAAAAATTTCTCCAAGTAAATCAAAATTTTAAATCAATCAATCCAATTAAATCCATTTTGGAGGTCATTTACAAGCAGACATTACAATGTAGAAAATCAAATTACTGTTTCAGAAACCAAACTTGAAAAGCTTTATAACAATACAGAAGACAGAATTAAAGGGAGAGAAGGAGGAATGAGCTGGGGCTCTAAAGTTTTTATTTTTTCACATTTTATCTGCATACACACACAGAGTTCTATCCATTGGTTCATTCCCGAGATGGCTACCAAGGCCCAGCCTGGGTCCGGTTAAAGCCAAGAGCCAAGAGCTACTTCTGGGTTTCCCATGTAGGTATTAGGAGACCAAACACTTGGGTAATCTGCTTCTATTTGTGCTGGCACATCAGTGTGGGTTGGATAGGAATAAAACAGCCAGGAAATGAACCCCTACCCATATGAGATGCCAGTGTAAAAGAATTTTAATTCTTTGCTTTATATACTCTTTTACTTAATTTTATGATCATCTTCTGCTCATGAAAAGTGAGTTCATTTTTCTATCATCCATAATGATAAAAAGCTTTCACACTAAATTTAAAATCTAAATAAATGACACCAATGAGGGAAAATGTTATGCAAATAAAAGCATACAGTGTAGTAGATAATATTTGATGGATTTGCTACATCAGTGAATAGTCATGATCAAGACATGATCAAGAATATCAATTTTACTTTACTTTAAATTTCTTTGAGAAGAAAGGGAAAGACAGAGACAGAGAACATATTTCTATCTGCTGGTTTACCCCCCACATTCCAATAATGATCATGTTGGGCCCAGACAAAGAGGGGGCTAGTTCACTCATTCCAGGATTTCCACGGGGTGGAAAGATACAATTACTTGAGCCATCACTGCTGCATCTCAGGGCCTGCTTTGGCAGGGAGCTGGATTCAGCAGCCAGAGCTGGGTACTGAACCCAGGCACTCCAACATAGAACATGGTCATCTTAAATTCTACGCCAAATGCCTGCTCTAATTCCTACGTTTCAAATTCTGTACCACTCAGGATACAATAATAACATCTCATAGTATGCTGCTCTATGCAGCTGCAATATGAATCATCTGTGCATGCTACTCAACCGTTAGATACTTGGCAGTCATCTTGGTTATCAAGTTTTGATATTGACAGTCTCAGTATTGTAGTGTTTGTAATCAAGGCACCATTACTTAATGTAACAATGGGTCCAGGGCATAAGAGTAGTGATGCTGGAAATTCATAAATGCCAGACAGAAACCCTAATGTGCTTTCTTTAAGTGAAAAGGTGATAGTTCTTGACTCAAAAATAACAACAAGGTATGCTGAAGTTGTTAAGATCTATGGTAAGGACAACTCTAATCATAAATGTGCTAGTTTGTTGCATCTCAAACTGCAAAAGTTACAGTTGAACTGCAGTGTTCAGCTGAGATGAGAAAGACATTAAATTCGTGGATGGAAGGCATAAAAAATTAGTTTCAATACTCAGGTAATAGATTACATCAAAAAGCATTGAGGCCTATGGGAAGACTTCAGCAAGGTTTCCCTTGAAACAAACACCTCCAAAACACAGATCAAGAACAGGTATATATCATTGTCTGGCACTTGATATTCTCCACAGTTTCAGACACCCCTTGGAGTTCTTGCAAAGTATCTATCTGTGGATAAGATGGGGTTACTGTAATTCTAAACTGGGGAAAATTTATGTGTACAAGTTTATGTTAGCACTATTTATAGATGAACAGAGTAAGGATTAAATAAACTACAGTGTCTTTTTGGAGTGGAACAAAATGCAAGTACTAGAAGTTACAGTAGGCAGACAACGAATGCTAAAAAAAACAGTATAGAACAGATACAGTATGCAAAAAAAAACAGAGGTTTGTGGAAGGTAAACACAAGATTAAAGGAAAAAATACAAAAATATTAGCAGTGATTATAACTGAGTGTTGGGAATATGAGTGCTTTTAATCTCTCTGCATACTTTTTCATGTCTTCCAAAAATTTCAAAATAAGCATGAACTGTTTTTATAATAAAAAAGTAAAACACAATTATTGCTTTTAAAGTCCTAGCCTATGCGCTAGGGAATGTAAGAAGCAGCAATAAAAAGAATGTGAAAATAAACAAGAAAAAAAGAACAAGTACATACAGCATTGTTACTGAAAAAATACATAGAGTATATATATATATGCATGTACATATACCATTTATTAATCAGTCAGTATTACCTACTGTCTCTCCTCTAGTAATAGAGAATTTTAGGCAGCAGGTTTGATTTCAGTATGTCTTTGTTTGATGGAAAGAAAAAGATAATGATGAAATACCATTTTTAAATACCAGAAAAAAATTGTGTGTTCAGATATTTGGTACAGACATCCTTTAGCTGTGACTGAGGTGAGCGACAGGAGCTGTGATGAGTATGAATGGGAAGGACGTATTGAGTGGAGAGCCTGTCACTGACCAAAAAAAGGTAATTTACCCACTTCAGGGCCTTAAAAAGGAATGTGTAAATCAGAAAACATACTTGGGCTTGGAACTCCAGTGGACTGTTGCTGAGTAGGAGGGAGAAATTTGGATAGCTAGGTGATGCAAAGATGAGAAAGGGTTTGTAACAATCAAATGCATTTGTTATTATATCCCTGATATGGGATTATCTCTCTTATTATGATAACACACTCAACATCTCAGGGTTCCACAAACACAACGGCATCCACTCTTGGAATAAGTTTTACTATCAACCATTTGCATACTTGCATTGAGGGTGTGGTAACAGCAGAATCTTCAAGATGGCAAAGGCATCAAGTAGGGAAGTCATTGCTTTACAGAAATCTGTGTCCCTCTTCTTCTTCATTCTGTTTCTGGGGTCAATACAAGTATTTTTGCAGTTGAATGGAATAGCAGCTCCTAAGAAACAAGAACCAGATGTCAGAGGACAGCATTCCAGGGTGAGTCACAGCCTTAAGGACTTGAAGCTCCAAGCTTGCTCCACACTTTCCTTTGCGGGCACCTCGACAGATGCCCAGAGCCCCAACTTTACCCAGGCAGCACCTAGTCCACAGGGTCCTCAAAAAGTCAAAATACACTTACTCCCAAGGCTGACCAACCTGTGGAGAGAAAATCTTGGCTGATTTTAGAAAGAGTACATGGAGATAAAGGGGCGCAGTTTTCCTGATTCACGTCTCAGATCTGGAAAAATATGTGCATGTAACCTCCTTGTGGGTAAATATTAATCATTTAAATCCAATTTCCTGAAAGGATGAACACTAAATTTCACAGCCTTCTGTTTACTAAAGTTGTTCAGAATCAAGTGAAGTTGTTTTACATTAGAACAATTCTAATGCCCACTGGAAAGTTTTATTAAACATAGTAAGTATCATATTTTCTGGGCAATGTTAGCTAGAGTTTCTAAAGGAACTTAGCTATATCGCATTCCGGACACACTTGTGGTATGCATTTTTGAAATAACATGCAATTTATTAAAATTATTGAAATAACATGGCACCAAATCACAATTGATGTGCAATTTGTGGTATGTACCTGTGTTTTTGAGACAGACTAGACATGATAAACACCAAGTTGAGGAAATATAAAAATATAGACAAAATATATTTCTATATAACCTTACAATTTAAAAAACTTAAGAGTATTCCTTAACTTTTCTGAAAAGCTTTTATAGTTCTATTGTACAGAGCTTCTGTTTTAAGAAAAGACATTAATATGAGCTAATACATCATTGCTTTACAATGCTCCATTGTGGAGAGCTTCCTTTTACTGTAGGTCATATAAAAAGTATCAAAGGTGTATATATCCTACTGTGTATTTACCTAAGAATAATTATTTTCTGAAATGCCACTGTTTTGTTACCTATTGCTAAGAAACTACTGGAAACTTAGTGACTCAAAGCAGCAGCCACTTTCTTCTGTTGTGTGGGCAGCCTCTGGAGGAATCTACTGGTCTCTTTCATTTTATTTATTTATTTATTTATTTATTTATTTATTTATTTATTTATTTATCTATTTTGACTGTAGCACCAAGTTTATGCTCCATCATCAGTGATGAGCTGCTGGAATAGGCCATACTTCTAGGGTCTCTATGCTCAAGGTCAGGAAAGTTAGCAGTTGTTCACTTGATCTCCTCACCTGGTTGGTTTGGGTTTCCTCACGCTGTTGAGTTGGGCTTCCCAGAGTAAAGATCTGCTGGTTGCCAAGTACTTTCACAGAACAGGCCAGAAACCGGCACAGTGCCACATTAGCTGCATTCTATTGGTTACAGCAGGTCACAGGGCCACAGCCCAGATGTAGTGTGGGAGGAACTCGCCAAGGAAGGGAATACGACAACACAATTCACTGGGGACCGTCTTTGGAGACTAAGACTCATTGATATTAGAGAAACAAACTTCATAAACATTAAACTGAATCTATTTCTTACCAAAGAACCAAACGTTAATATACACTGGCTTGTCAGTCCCTATACATATAGAAGTCTACATTCAAATATTTCTGATTATTAAGGTTCCTTGTCCAAATTCAAATTATTTTGGCACTGCAATCTCTCCATGAGGGTCTAGCATGAGTCTCAAAATGTTTCCAGGTGTTTGAGATCCAAAATATAGAAAAGTTTAGAACTAGTTTATATTTGCTTAGTAGCCAATTTTGTAATTTTTTATCAACAAAGAATATGATAAAAAGTATTATTTTTGCTCCCGAAAGTATTAATTTTTAGAAAAAGTATCATTTCAGATTAAAGCACACTTTTTAAATAGATCTGCTTATTTTATAAAAACTATATTTTTGGTCAGTCGATCTTTCAAATTACACAAAATATGGCACATTTCACAAATTTGCGTGTCATCCTTTGCAGAGGCCATGGTCACCTCTGTGTCTTCTCAGTTTTAGTGGTACACATGTGCCAAAACAAGCACTACAGGGCTTTATTTTCATTTTGCTGCAACTCATGAAAACTCCACCAATGGCTGCCACTGCTTCTTGACCAGCGGCTAGGAATCCCCTGTCAGTGCAGTACTAACTGAACTTTGTCAAGGCCCTTTTTACTCTGAATTTTCTCACATCACTTCACATCTTTCCCTAGGGACTGCAATCACACTGATCACAATGCAAATTTTAAATTCTTTCACACAACATGGATTCATTTCAGTCTGTGCCAGTGCAAACAATAGAGCTGTTAACATGTCATGCTAGCACAGTTAGGACTTACAAAGCAGCTTCTGCAGTCAGACTCTCTCTTCCAATCTGGATCTGTTATGACCGGGCAAGTCTACCTAGCCCCTTCACACCTCAGTTTTCCATTTGTGATGCATATACAGCCACAGCAAATCTCTTTTGAAGTTTGAATGAAATAATAGTTATAATGTATATAGGGTACTGCCCGGTGCATATTAAATAATATCATGTTATTTTACTTAAACAAGTATTGGTATTTCACAGTTGTACTTAGGCTCTTCATATAATTCAAGAGTGATCTCAAATAGCCACAGTGCCTTTGAAGATATCATTTTTCAAGGAGATAACCGCATTGTAAATTTGGAAGGGAATCTAACTATTGGCTAATTCCTTCCTATTACACGGGGAAACATTTTAATCAACAAGATGAATATAAAATTCTTCTATGCTTTAGTAAAGCCAAGCAGCTTTTAGGTGAGTAAAGTCTCAATGCATGTTTCCAGCTTTGCTGGGTGCCTTGTCATTACCACTGACACTCATGCGTTGTCTCACCATCCACATTTTTTATTTGTATCTAAGTGGAAAGCAACATAAAGTTCAGTTCTCAGAAAAACAACAAAATTCCTAAGACTACCTAAAAATGGGAATAAAATAAAGGACAAGCTGGGCTTTAAAAAAAATTATTTTGGGGCAAATGCCAGATTTATTTTAAGCTCTATGTTTAAAAATAAATTTAATTCACATGACTGACTGAAAATACTGAAGCCAAGAAAAGTCACTGCAAAAGCATTTAATGAAATACCTGAAGTTCAGTGGTCATCTTTGTTATGATTTTTGTGAAGACTTACTTCCTATCTTGATTTATGCACAGGATCTCATATGTAAATGTTTCTTGCACTAATAAAATATTTTTCAAACACCATATTCCTGGTCTCTGACTCACGTTATAGGGTTGCTGGATGAGCCTGACGCAGTGCCAACAGCTTTCACACAGAAAGACCAACGGTCCACGGGCAGCATTTTCCAGGCGGAGGGACAACATCCACACTGCCTTCCCAGTGACCTCTAGGCAAAAGTAAAAACTGGTGAAACTCCTTCTGAAATCAGTGAAGAACATCATTCTATCCCCAGGTTGAGTGCTAAGTCTTTCACCCACTCACACCAAGTCCATGAAACAATTCAAGTAGGAATAAAATGCCCATGATTTGCATGTCTGACAATGGATCTGGTCAAGTCACAGTCTCACATTCCGCTCAATGTTTGCAAGTTGAACCTGCGGCGCTCCACACCCAGGAGAGAACTGTGGGCAGCCGGGCGACCTGAGCGATTAGGGACGACTTCACACTGATTTTTTTCTTTTGTCCTCTGACGTTATTTTCTTTTTTATCCCATAAAATTAAACGACGTTTGACTTGTACTGATTATTCTCTTAAGGCGTTAATACTATAACTCTCCCTGACAGACGCGCTGGGCTTGGAAGGGCTGAGTGCTTGGGACTCACGTGGGCTTGGCGAGAAGCACTGCGACCAAGGTGGACCTGCCGAGGAGGGACCACCGAAGTCCGACCTGCACAGAAGTGCTGAGAACTCCCACGAAAAACCATCCTGCATCCAACAGAACCTATGTGAGCTACAAAACAGGAGTAAGAAGCACCTTTCCCTTCTCGTCAGTTCTCTGGACGCGCGGCAGCCTCGAGGAGGGCGAGCCCCGGCAGCTGCCCCGACAGAGCCCGGGAGCAGCGACAGCTCCGCCTCCGCTCCGACAGGACCGCTCCGGGACCCCGAGCGACTCCCCAGAGCCGGCCCGCCGAGCCTCCGGCTCCTCCCCGCCCTCGGCGCTCTCCGCCGGCGCGCCAGGCCCCGGCCGCGCCCCGCTGCCCGCCTCGCCCGGGGACGGCTCAGGCCCCGCCCCGCGGAGGCGCCCCAGTGCGCGCGCGCGCCGAGCCGGGCCGGTTCCCTTTCCGAGCGTCCGCGCCCCGCATGCGCAGTCTGCGTCGGCGGTCTCCGTTTGTTTGAACAGGAAGGCGGACATATTAGTCCCTCTCGGCCCCCCTCGTCCCACCCCCGCCAGGCATTCGCCGTCGCGACTCGCCCTTTTCCCGGCCGGGACTGCAGTCCCTCCCAGAAGCTGCCCCATCAGCAGCCGCTGTGACCCGGGTATCGTCCGTCTTGCTGCCCGCTCTACCACCCGTTCCTACTCTCCATCGGGCAGCGACCTCGCCCTGCTCCGCCGGACACAGAGGCAGCAACTCCAGCTGAAGCGACGGGGCAAAATGGGAGAGTGAAGGTGTCTTTGGAGGACTAACTCTGGGCTGAGACGGATCGGTGCGTCGGGCCGTGTTGAAGAGCCGGAGATGCGGGGCTAGACCGCCTCGAGCGCCTCAGAGCTGAGCGGGCCCGTGCCGGGGCCCAAACGGAGGCTGCAGCTGGCACCACTGCCCACCCGCCCTTCGCTCTCGCCTTTCCTCTTCTCCCTCCCGGGCTGCCCCGCGGGAGTCCCCACCCTGCTTCCCTTTCTCTCCCTTCTCCTGCCCACCCCGGGCCGGGAGCCCCTGCCGGGCGAAGGTGGCCGAGGCCCGCTAGGCTGAAGCAGCTCGCGGGAGCGGCGAGGCTGGTGGCGACGGCGCTGGGGGCTGTCGTGAGGGGCTGCCGGGTGGGATGCGACTTTGGGCGTGCGAGCGGCTGTGGGTCGCCGTCGTCCCCGGCCCGGGGTCTGGAGAGCCGAGGTGCCCTCAGTGAGGGGCAGGAGGGGGAACTGGACGCTCCTGGTGACCCTGAGGTTCCGGCTCCTCTGCCCGGCGGCTGGGAACCCACCGCGGAGGAAGTTGGGTGAAATCGTTTTCCGCTGCTGGTGCTGGTACGAGGGTATTGTCACAGCAGCAACATGTCGACTGGGGACAGTTTCGAGACTCGGTTTGAAAAAATCGACAACCTGCTGCGGGATCCCAAATCGGAAGTGAACTCGGATTGCTTGCTGGTGAGTGGTGAGGGCCCCTCTCCCGGGCTGGCACGGGGTTCCGCGTGGATTGCCCTCCTCTGGCTTGCAGTCTAGTGAGCGACCGAGCGGAGGGAGTCAGGTGTGCAGAATTACTCTGCAGCAGTGTGGGAGGTCCGCAGAGAGCTGGCGTGGCCCTGCTGACCGTTTGACCGGTTTGGTGCCAGCGACTCTCTGAACTTTCAGTTCAAACTCAGCTCATCCGTATACAAAAGATAGTGCTGTTGGCAAGCGTCATACAAAAACTCAGCACGCATCCGAGTTGCTGCCTGTAGTTTTTTGTTTTTGTTTTGTTTTTTTGATTAGCCATCTTACTGATCTTCATCGGTTTGACAGTAACCTCGGGGAGATGACCTTCCGGTTTACAGAGATTTGGCTCCTAAGGGGTTTACTCCTTAGCCGCGAAAGTGACCGGAGAATTGATATTAAGGAATTGATTTTCGAGCAAAAATGTCATAGGTGCCTTGAGTCAGAAGGAACTTTTTGCCGGTCTTTTAAGTGTCAAAATTTCAGATAACTGGTCATAGATCAACATCATGGTAACTTCTTTTACAATGTCATTGGTTGCAAAAGTACCACACGGATGTTACAGCTGCCTTTTTTGGTAGTGTTGTACTTGATCCTGTCATTTGAAAAGCATTTTGAGGAGGTTTTCATGTTACGAAAATCACCAAAATAGTGTCGTAAACAACAAGAAAAAAAAAAATTCGCTGGTTGACAGCATATGCAATTATGTGTAAATGATTGGGGTTAAGTTTGGTCTACTAGCTGTTGCACACTTTGTTTAGTTTCTCCTTTTATTTTATGCAACAATTACTACTTTCTTTGTAAAACTGAAATTCTGAGGAGTTTGTGTAGGATTGTTCAACCTCTTTAGAGAATTAACTCTAAATGTGTACAGTTCATGGGATTAAGATAAGGAGAACAAAATAATATTGGCCAGAAATATCACCATTTAAAATTTCCATCTTTTTTTGTGTGGAAAATTATGTAGATTCTTTAAAATCAACAAGCATTTCAGTTACTCTGAATACCTGCGTATATTTTTTTCCACGTGTATGGCTTTACAAGAAAGTTTCACCCCCAAGCTTTTAAAATTACTCTGAGCATCCCTGACTCTGAAGTGAGACTCTTGTGGATTATAGGTTTGAAAGATCTCATCCACATTCGTGATGCTGCTTACTGCAATTTAGATCTTTTTATTGAGTGAGAGAAATGGAAGGAATTAGAATGCATCGCATTCTAGTAATAATTCTATAACTTATCAGAAGTTGTCTTTCATATTTATCTGATTTCCCTGTGTTTTTTATATTGCTTTTTCTTTTTCATTTCACAAATCTTTTACGTGGAGGGTTTAGTGGGGTTTTTTTGTCTTTAGTTGCCTTCCATCCTGTTGCTATAGCCTCATTTGGTTCAGACTTCTACAGATACTTGTTTATTTTTATTGAGAAAAAAGAACCCACCCTTTAGTTCACTCCCTAAATGCCCACAGTGGCTGGCGCTGGATAGCTGACTTCTCCCATTCCCCAAGTGTTATCCAGGTGCCCCCTGTGAGTGGCAGATGCCCAACTACTTGAACCATCACTGTTACCTCCATGGATCTGTGTTAGCAGGAAACGAATCAGGAGCCGGAGCTGGGAATCTTAACCCCTCTTACCTGCTACGTTAAATGGTTGCTTCGTGAGAATATATTGAGATGTGGAGGATTCAAGGAGGTGTAAATCATGAACTCTTTTCTTGAAGAGTTCAGTCTGTTTAGGAAGGCTAGACCTAATCCCACATGCAAATACAGAAACAAGCAAACACTTTCACAGGTTAAGACTTTGAGATAAAGTCCAAGTAACTATTTAGGCAATGCATGCTGTATTGTAAGGAAATCATTCTGGGTTTCAGAGAGCCACTGTATGCATGGGTAATGGGTAGATGGGAGTAAGATAGGGGTTTCTGGCCAGTGGGGTGGAGAGTAACACATAGGGTGGCTATAACAGGTTTAGGAAGATGGAAGATGATGGAAGTTGGAAGTCAAGATTAGGGATTAGCTTGTGAAGGATTTGATTATTAGGCTCAAAAATTTACATTGTCTTTATGCATGACTATTAAATGTTTGTAAACAAGACTGTATCAGATGATGATATGGCAGATTAGGTTAGTGTGGACAAAGATTGGAACTAGTTTGAGATTGCAGAGTGTTGTGGTAAAGCTGTTAACCGTTGACAGTTCTGGAGTGATTTAGGTCCAAAATTGGGGCATGAAAATGAGGAAGTTTGAAGAACTGGTAGAGTTAGGAAGAAAGGGAACCAAAGAGAAAGCAGTGGTCAGATGACTCTGAAAGTGTTGAGCCTGGATTACAGAGAGAATGGTGAAAATAGCAAAGTCAGGTGTGGAAAGCCCTTGGGAAGAGTAAGCCTGCACATACATTCAGTTGCAGATTTGGTGTGAGTATGGGGGGTAGTAAGACAGCTATGAAGAAGTGACCTCTACACTAACAGAGATAGGGAACTTAACCCATAATTACAAGTAACGTTTTGCAAATCTTGCACAAGGTGTAAGTTGAAATTAATATAATGATATAGGAAGACACCTGCAGAGAAAACAGAAGGTGAAAGACAAAGTTTGAACACAGAGGAAGAGTCAAGGAAGTAAGCACTTAGGGCCTTCAGGACATAGACAGATATCATGGAGCCCAAGGCTTGTGCAAGAGCATTCTGATAAACAGAGGTTAGTCAACAGATTAATGTTCCCGCTAGCAATCTTACAGTTGACCAAACCACCCACCTTATTTAACCTATAGTTTCACAACCATTTATTGATAGCTTGTATTGAAATGTTATTACCTTATCAAGCTGAACTCGGAAGATTGATTTTTGTTTGGAGACAAAAAAATTCATTTTTTGCTCTTGTAGAATGTAGCATGAATTTTCTTTGCATATTTAATGTTTATCATTGAGTAGTTGCTGATTCGCTTATTCTATGATACAGAATGACTTGTTTTTCACTTTTTTCTTATGAACCTCTTCTCTATCTGAACTTTGAGCCTCATGTATTGTGAGAACAATAATCTTTTTCACTGGTTTCCTTTCTCTTATTTTGACCTTTGTTGATTTATTTAACAACTATTTTTGAATAAACATCGTGTGCCACGGAGGGTTTTTTTTTTTTTTGTAATTTCAAATTAAGCTGTCAAATTATATTTATTCTTCATTTTTAGTAGGTTCACTCTTTGGAAATAGATGCTCCCAAACCTTTTGGTTTTAGAACATTTTGCTCGCGAATGTCTTTTTAAAAATTTCCTTAACCATAGAATAACTTTTTAGTTGAGTCACTACTACCTAGTACTATATTAGTTGTTACGAAAAATAGTGTAGCTGGAAGAACCTGATAAGTGACTATCCAGCTTTTTGAATACCTACTTTCAAAAATTAACTAAGCCTGTTTTTATATTATAAATGCTACAGGAGTCTGCATGTACTAATATAATGTCCATTCACTTGTTTCACAGGCCATTCAGATTTCCCAACCTTGGTGTTCTATAGGTCAGGTTCTTTTATGTGTCCTAATGTTTGCTTTTTTTTTTTTTTTAACTGTCCATATTGTAGTTTCTATTTACAGAGGATGGAGAAGTTTTTTTCTCCTAAGGGCTATTGTGTATTTATAATGTTATTTGTGGATCGTACAAAATTACCAATTTAAAAATTAGCCTGCTATAAATGTATTGAATTTTGAGTCCTGTCGGGTTGCTGTAACAGGATGAGACCAAATGGCTTTGCTTTTTAAATGGCTCATGGCAGGGTGTTCCTCACCTCAGTTTATGATTACTACCAATGCTGCTTTTCATTCTCTAGCTTTAGTACATTAGAAGTATTTCATCTGGGTATTTTAACAATTTTTTCAGTAATTTTGAATACCTCTGAAATCAGAGTAAGGGATAGGGCTTGTCTGTGTAATCTTTCTGGAGGAAAAGATGCATGTGGCTTATAAATTAAAAAGGAAAAACAAATGTGAATGTGTGGTTGCTGTTTATTTCATGAAAATGCAGCTTGTAGCACCTTAGCAGGTGGTTTAGTCTGTTCTACAATGCTGGCCTCAGTTTGTCCATTTTTAAAGCATTAGCTGTTATACCTGTCCATAATACCTGGATCCCTATTTTCAAAACTTTAACTTGTTTCAGATCCTAAACCTGTCTCCTAGGTGTCTCTCCTCTGTTGCCATGTGTTAATTCAAATTTCTCATATTCTAAAGTCTGCTTTCTCCCTATAAAGCTATAATTAAGTTATGGTTATATAAACCTGTATGCTTTGCCAGTTGAATTGATCATGCTTAAGCTAACATGAATTGTTCATGTTACTATTGTTGTTTAATTGATCACATTTAATAGATTTAACCGTTTGATTTAATTGATTGGTTTTGTTTGTTGATTATATTTGATTGGTCATGTTACTGTTGTTGGAATGAAGAATCCCTAAAGCATCACATCTTTGCATCTTAAACTAATGCCTGCCAGTGTTCCACAATCTGTTAATTAAGGGAAGTTACCAGTATCAATTGTATATATCTAATTATTTTGGACAAGTAATTTTGATGTTTAATATGCTGCAGGAATTTTTTTTTTCAGATTTACTTATTTTCTTGGAAAGGCAGATTTATAGAGAGGAGAGACAGATCTTCCATCGACTGGTTCACTACCCAAATGACTGTCATGGCTGGAGCTGAGCTAATCTGAAGCCAGTTGTCAGGAGCTTAGGCCTGGTTTCCAGCACAGGTGCAGGGTCTCAAGGCTTTGGATCATCCTCTACTGCTTTCCCAGGTTATAAGCATGGAACCAGATAGGAAGTAGAACAGCCAGGACTCAAACCAAGCCCCAATATGGGATGCTGATACCACAGGGGAAGCTTAACCTACTATGCCACAGTACAGGCTCTTCAGTATTTTTTTGTCTTTAATATCTATTTATTTATTTGAAAGGCAGAGTTATGGAGAGAAAG